ATTGACCACGTGCAACGGGTGCTAATTCTTCATCTGAGTCCTCAAAATTTCGTGCTAAGAAATCTTTAAATGATTTTCCATTGCAAGTTGTTGCTAAAACTAACATAAATACCGCAAGGCATACTGTACTTGCTTTAGTAAGCATCGTATTCGTTCAGGTAATAATAAAGATTGTTTATCGAGTAACTCAATATAATGGGAAGCCGATGTTTGTGATTTTTTAATGCAATTTTATCGATTATATATACGCTTCAAGACGAGAGAAACAAAAAAGAAAAAAAAACGATTTTTTTCTATATTAAATGGAGGTGTATGATAATTTGAGAGTATGAATTGGAGAGAACCTACGTCTTTCTATGATAAAAAAGGTAACTTTGTTATTTGTTTTGATGTTATTAAGCACCCACTCAAATATCGACAAACGAAAAATTATCGTTCTTTATTTTTAACGTTGTTTTTTTGCTTTTAAGCCTTCGCTATCATTTCGTATCTTCGTCGGTTTTACCTTTTTTTATTCAATTATTACGAATAACAAAAAATGCGCGACACTAAAATAGTAGTGCGCATATTTGTCCTTTTTTTGATAGTTACATGTAAAAATATAATCCACATTATAGAATATCATTGGTTTAATATTCATTGTTCTATTTTCATGAAGGATACATATTAAACGTCAAAATAATAATTGACGATCACACAATAGTCAAAAATTACGACGGCTATGTAGAAATCGTCAAGGATGAAAACGAAAAAAAAAATCCACGTTGAATATAGAAACAATTCAACCGTGACGGAGGTGAACAACATAGAATGAATGAAACATTTCATTAATAAACAGATATGTACGAAATTCAAATGATTTATATACTAAACTTTATATATTGAATTGATCTATATGTACGATTAAATATGATATTTATGTTAAATGTAAATTAATAATTAAACAAATCTTTTATTACTACGTGGATGATACATTTACTAAAACAAGAATTTTCTATCTTCAAATTAATTTTTCATCGATCAATTTATAACTTGAATCACAGATAAAATTCATCATCAACAAATTATTTTAGGTAATCGTATTGTCTGATTAATAATAGATTTAAAACATTAGAGAAAAAACAACAATATTATTAGTTATAATGTAGTTTTAATAATCATCATCTATACTTTTTTTTTATAAAGAAAATATATTTATGGTAGTTCCATTGTTTTACATATCATTTGATAAAGACTAAAGAAAGTATAATTCTAACAGAATAATTTAAAATCATATTATAGTATTACAAAGAAAAGAATATATATAGGGTGATAACGCTATAATTTACAGTCTGAAATATGATGAATTTTATATTAAATAAAAACCCGTGAAAAATAGGGTTTAATAATGCTAAATAATAAGACTTTGAAGGACTTGCATGTATTGATTTACCAAAAGTTCGAATTTTTACCGATATGAAATATTATAAGATTAATTTATCAAAAAATGTTCTAGTTAAACAATATGTTATAAAATAATTTATTTTCTTATTCTTTAATGAGTACAATCAATAATCAGTATGGCGACCACTAGTGTTCTTTACTACATGAAATCGAGATGGATATAAACATAAAAGAACTTCAAACTATTCGATATATTTTTCTATGTCAGTCAGAACATATGCAATGTGTTTTTTGAGTGTATCTTCACGATATCGATTGTTTTCAATTTTCGATAACATTTTTTTTTAAAGAAAATTCCGTTATTTTTAAAAGTTTGATAGACGAAAGTCTTACTATTTAGCATAATTAAACCCCATTTTTCACGGGCTTTTATTTGATATAAAATTATAGTGTTACTCCCCGTGAATAATATTATTTATCATCCTGTAGAGAATAAAATAAAATTAAACATATTTAAGTGAAGATATCTACTAGTAGTATCATATGATTATTATAACAATTTCATTTTGATTAAAGGTCATATGGAGAATGATAATGAATAATAGCACTGTATTGTTTTTTTTTTGTTGAACATAAACAAATTATTGAAATAAGTTTCTATATTATCATTTATTATTTTTATGCATCATAGTTGATTTTATAATCTAGTAGACATTTACAAAATATTTTTTAAGGGCTAATCATAGTTATTATTCATAAAATGTATTAAAAATACTTTATTTTGAGTACCTTTTTTTACGAAATACATCTATCTTGTCATTTTATTCATACATGATAGAATACCTTCTATTTTTTACTGTCAAAACAAATTGGTAATTGTACAGTTATATCGTCTTTTTTGATCATGATAATTTTGTTGACGATGATTAGTCCTTTTGAAATGTTTTGATAATACGCAGATATCTCTTGTTTTTTTTGTCCTTGAGTTAAAAATATGTATGTGTATTGTATCTGATCAAACTTAATAATATAGGAACATCGAATAATATATGAGATGGTAATAATTTATCATTTTTTAGCTTTTTGCTTGTTTCTCATAAACACCAATTAGAAAAAAATATCTTTTTTTTCTCCACATGATATGAATCGTCAATGATTTATCATTATGAATTAAATTTTATTTCATTTAGAATTTTTTTATGATATTAATAAGAAATTTTCCTTTATTCTTAATATACGAATGTTTTAAGAAGAACGAAGACAGTCAAAGTTCACTATTTAAGATAGTATCGATTGATTTCTTATTAGTTTTTATTAAATAATTTGGTGATGATTTCTTCATTTTACATTCATCATAAACTATATTGAATCGTGATAGTATTTTAGTGTACCGATGATGTTGAAATATAACATCAGTACTTGAAAAAAATTGAAGATATTATTTTGTATTTTTATTGATAGAAAAAGCGAATAAAAGACGATAAATGTTAATTAGAAAATAATTTATACCATCAATCAATATATTAAAGTACAGACAGAAAACTAAATTATATACGAAAAGAATCTAATATATTTAGTGGATTTTATATCAAGTTTAGCTATTTAAGTTATATTATTTATGTTAATAAATTGAAATTCGTCTGAAGCAAAAAATTTCTTTACGAATCTGAGTTTCGATTGAATTCTAACATCATGTAAAACGCTTGTCATTCTGATGATGATCAACGAAAATAAAAATACGTTGATAATAATAAATCACCTACGTAAACATAAAAACTAATGATGAGTCATACATATAATGAATAATAAAGTCGAAAATAATGCTTATGACCGTAAATAATCGTCCATTAGAAAGAGAATGACCCTATTCTTTTTTATATTTGATTATGACAATTGATTTTAATAAACAGAATAGCATTAAACCATGATTCTTCATTAAACTAATCAATTTCAAATGTGCTTATATCGATTGATATTTACATATATTAATCATTATGAATAAAAAAAAATGATATAAATTATTACCGAAACAAATTTCACTAGATATATTTTTTTTACAAAAACTAATAAATTAATAAATATAGTATTGGATTTGATTTTAATGGTTACTATTTAAAAAAATGATATCTTCATATGACCAAAAAAAAACTAAATTGTTTATTTAACTAAAAATGAAAATTATATATTGTTTATTTTTATTTCTACTGATTTCTATATGGACTATCGATATCAATATTCTAAAATAGTTTTTATTACTTATGTAAGATTATTTTTCATTACATAAATGTTGACATGTAGACGGTAAAATCCTTGAATCAATCATTCGATTATGACAAAAAACAAACGAATTATGTATATAATTTATTGGAGTTTGATCTCCAATAATAAAATAAAATAGCTCTTAAATATCATATAAAAAGAAAAAAAAGTTAATATAATATTTTTTATAAAAAATACTTATAGAGCGGATATATTATTGTGGTAAGAATCCGACAGTTTGATGACGTAGAGAGAACAATTATGTTAAAATTATATCATTCAAAGTCTATTATAGATCATAAACCGCTTATTATTGAACTTTTTAAACGGAAAAAATAATTGCCTTTAAAACTTCTCGCCTAATCTCTTTAAAAAAATCTATAAATAAAGCTACTTTAAGAATTTATTTCTACGTATTAATTCTTTGTAACTTATTTACAAAATTTGATAATAATTCTGTTCTGTTTGTTTTATTTAACATAAAATTATTTCTATGAATTTAGAGAATACAAGTAATGACAATTTAATCTTATGTTTATCAAACAAAATCATTCAAGTATTGATAAAGATATTATCTTATAATATACATTAGCTTTCATACATATACCAAGACAAGAAAATTATTCTATGATGTTTGCCATTACGTCTATTATTTTTTCTAGATCAAGCCGATACTTGTATAAGAAAATCCAATAAATAATCTTTCGAATCTAATTAGATAAAATGTGATTAAATTTTTTTTATTTTTTGGATAAGAAATAAAGAATTTTTTTCCCCTATATTAATGTATTTTTGTTTGTATAATTATTACAGCTGTTAGTTTTTTTTGTTACTTGAAAAAGAAGAAAAAAAAACGATCGAGATAAATGCGTACAATGATGATGGTAACAACAGCGACAGCTTTTCTTCTTTTTTTTTCTTTCTTCTTCTTCTTCTTCTTTTGCGATCATTTGCTCTGTTGCATGACACAGAATAGGACCTCGTAATTGATGTAATAGAAGAAAAAGCAAAAGAAAAAAGGATTCTTTAGGACGATGTAGATAGAGAAAATGTGGGAAAAGGCGGAAGAGCCAGCAGAAAAAAAAACTGGATGGAAAGGCAAGCATCTACAATTTGTGGACGTCAAAGCACAGAACAAAAAGAAAGAGCAACAGAAAGAAAAGAGAGACAAAGCCGGGAAAAATTTCTCATAATAATGCCCATGTATACTACTCTCGTAGAAAGAACGAGAAGAGGAAGACAATCGCAAACACGCGCAAGCTTTCTCATTGAGCAATATGTGACAACAGTGTGTTAATTCACACACATAGTTATACATTAAAATTTTGCTGATCAATGCCGTTGACTCAATTATAATGATGATTTCGAGGTGGATTATTTATATTTTATTTGTTTTTATTTATTTTATCTATGGAGATACACAAGGATCTAATTTTGGAGAGATTCCAAATGTGTCCTTCACGAATACATCAACGTAAATGGAGTTTTTTTTTTCATTTTTTTTTCTATTCATTTTTTTTTGAAATAGAACATCAGCAATTTCGGCAAAAACAAATCAATATATTCGCGATCAATTAGTTCGTTTAACTGAAGAATTTTCATCAATAAAATTACGTAGTACTAGCCGAGTAATGCGTCATATATATACGCAGTCATTAAAAACATTTGTTATTGAAAAACGTAATTTAACTGAACTTGTAACAGAAATGGCTAATTATACAAATCGTGCAATTATGAAAAAACTTGAAGCTATTAGAAATTTAGTTAGTATAAGTGAACAATCATATCGAAAATTTGCCGAAACAGATGAAACAATTCGTAATGCTACTTTTACATATATGACGGTTAGTTGTTTTTTGTTTTGTTATCATAAAAATCATTATTTTTTTTCTCGTTTAATTAGAATCATGGTTATTTAAATTCCAAACATGCTCTTAATGTAACAATAAATACTACATCTGAAAATTCTACTCTTACAACAACTACAACTACAACATCTCAAGTAATAATAAATGATGATAAAACAATTACTAGTGGATTATCAACACGAGAACCAATATCGACAAGTACAAATAAAAATGAAGTTTCACCAAGTGAAACATCAAATGATCATGGAAGAGAAACTGAAGTGGAAGGGTAAAAAAAACGCGAAAATCTATTCAAAACTAAAAATTTGTTTGCTTGTTTTTTTAGTGTATTAGATAAGAAATTAGTTATTCAACAAAAAAAACATTTCGGTGGTGCTTTTGTTAATATAACACATAGTACAGTACATGTACCAACAATTATCTATTCATTAAGTATGAAAAAAAACCTTTTTTTTTTTGTTTAATTAATATTTTTTATCTTAGATCAAGAAATTCTTTTAACAGCTAATTGGTCTTATAATCTTAATCAAGCATTTATTGATAATTATAATCAAGATCCTGAATTAACTTGGCAATATTTTTGTAGTCAAACAGGTCTTTATCGTGTATGGCCAGGTCATATATGGGAGTATCCAGAAAGTGATGAAGATAAATTAGATTTATTTGATTGTCGTGTACAAAATTGGTATATTCGTGCAACATCATCACCACGTGATGTTATTATTTTAATTGATGCAAGTGGTTCAATGACTGGTTTAAAACGATCTATTGCTATACAAACAGTTGAAACAATACTTGATACTTTATCTGATGATGATTTTGTACAAATTCTTAAAGTAAGAAATAAAAAATATCTATGTGATTTTTATTAAAAAAATATATTCTTTGATATTTTAGTTTCAAGACAATGCACATCGTATTGATGATTGTTTTCAAGGTGGACTTGTTCAAGCAACAGTAGAAAATCGACATGTAAATAAAAAGAAAATTTTTGATTGATTTATCGGAATAATTTGTATTTTGAATCTAGCGATTTCGAACATCAGTTAATAACAATTTTCAAACAGATAATATTGCAAATTTTTCAAAAGCACTTGATATGGCATTTGATATATTAGATAATGCACGAGTTACTATAGCTCGTACTGAAAATGCAAGATTACTATGTCAATGTCATTATTTATCATCTGATAATCAAACTGATGCAGAACGTGAAGCTGCTTGTCCATCCGATTTTAATGGTTTGTGTAATATTAAATCTATTCAAAAATATTTTCTTTCTTTTTTTGTTAATTTTAAGCAACAAGATATGAACCTGATGAACCTATATTTTTGGATAGTACTGGTTGTAATAAAATGATAATGATTGTTACCGATGGAGCAACTGAAACAGCAATAGAAGTTTTCAAAAAACGTAATTGGCAACCAGATAATAATGCAACATGTCATGCTATTGAAGTAAATACTAAAACAAATTTTTTTCTTATATTGATTTTATTTTTCTATAATAGACGAGAGTATTTACGTATATGATTGGAAGAGAATTAGGAGATCCAAAACATATCAAATGGATGTCATGTGCTAATAAAGGTATGGAAATATAATATTAAGAGACGTAATTCGTTGCTTACAGATAATTCGAACAAAACTAAATCGAATTAAGTCTGATGAATACTCTAGAGAGATCATAGAAAATGAATGCAGGATCACAATTAACAAATATAACTTGTTAGAAAATGGAATCCACAAAAATAACATGATCTTGCATATTTTTATTTTAGAAGAATTTACATAAGTTAAAAGTTCATATTAGAATAATTCTGTCTCTCTCTCTCTTCGGAAAAAGAATATATTTGAGTATATATCTAATTATCAGATTTTTGCTTTTTTATGTAAATATAGGAAATTATTAATTTCTATTTTTAGGTTATTTTGCACATGTATCTACATTAGAAGATATTCAAGAAAATGTTGAAGATTATATTCCTGTTACAGCACGTCCAATAGCAATGTATAATGATCATGTCACTGTTTGGAGTAGTGTTTTTCTTGATGTTGAACGAACATTACCTATAAAAGCATATAAATGGTTTGCATTTAAAGTTGCGGATTTATCAATAACAATGGAAGAATTTAAAAATAAATCAAAAGTAACAAAAAATTAAGTTGAAAATAAAATAATGTATTTAATTTGTAGCCTGTTAATCTGATGATTTCAATTGCTCAACCTGTTCTTAATCCACCTGAAAATGTTAGTTATATATATATATATATAAAACGAATTTTTTTTGCTTTCTATTAAATTTAATTAGAAAACGGATACGACAATTTTATTAGGCGCTGTTGGTGTGGATATTCCAGTTAAACTTCTACAAGAATTTTCACCAAAATATCGAGTATATTTACAAAAAACAAAAATTCCGTTTTCTTTGAATGTTTTTCTTTAAGCTTGGTGTTCATGCGTATTCATTTATGATTAATCATAATGGCTATTTAATGTTTCATCCGGATTTACGACCTGTGGTATGTATAATTTCATTTTGAATAATAATATATGCAAAAAAAAATAATGTCGACAGATTCCGGAAATTAATTTCGACAGTATTCGTTCTTTCCTAATGACTCTTATCAATATGAATAGAAAAAATTTGATAAATTGCTAATCTAATTCTTTCTAGTTGGGTCCATATCGTAAGCAAAATTATCATTCAATTGATTTGGATATGGTTGAAATTCCTGCTAATCTTATGCGTTTTGTACATGTAAGTTTGTCATTATTTAGATAAATAAATAATTAAACATTTTATTTTGTAGCCATTACCACCGAGTAAAATTCAACACGTAAAATAAATTCAATTTTATTAATTATTATTCGAAATTTGTATTATATTTTCTAGATACGTAAACAAATGATACAATCCGTTGAAAATCAGACAACAGCTCGAGTTAAAAAACATCTTGATGATATGGTAAATAAAATAATATGAAACAAAAAAATAGAAATTTGTTTTTCTCTTTCTAGAAACGAATTGAAGAAGTTGAACAAAGTTATTATTATGCGACACTAGGTGATAAAGAATCGAATCCTTTCAGGTAGATAAAAAAAACAATATTTATAAAATTTGATTTACTTTTTTTTAAATTTAGTTTGGGAATTGTTGTACGTGGTCCGTATGGTGAATATGATATTCAAACAATTGAACCCAAGACTGATAAAGTTCAAACTGGTTTTTAAATAAAAAAAAACGATCTCTTTTTTTTACATATGTTTAATTTTAGCACTTCGTTTTATTCTTCAACGAAATGTTCGTATTGCTGATTGGATTTATTGTAATTCTACAGCTGAAGATGATATTGGTGACACGGAAGAATCGTTTCGTGGTTATCTTAAAGAAAAAATTGAAACCGGAAAAATTAAATCATGTAAATATTTAAACATATGAAGTTTTTCTTATTAAAAAATTATTTCTAGGTCCATATAGAGCAAGTAAACAATTGATTTTTATGATGATTGAAGAATTATATATAATGAGTAAATTTGAAAATTGGACAAAAACTGGTATAACTGGCTCGGAACATCCTCAACCATTAGATCCAAAAGCGCATGCTGAATTTAAGGAATATCAAAATGAAAATCATTTACATTGGATATTCTTAGCAACTCGTTCAGGAATAACTGCTTATTGGAAATTATATGACTTAGCTAATGAAGAACATATTCGGTAAAATAAAATTAGATGTTCGATTTGTTTTTTAAATAAACTCTTTTTTTTTGATTTAGACAATTTAGTGATGCAAATCCAAACTCCATTGAATCAGGTTATTATGAAAGAACAATCAATGCAACATATACATATGGAGCAGATCATATTGATGGTGATCATCAAGTTTATTCACTTTTTTATGGTGTATCAAATGTACCTGTAACAAATTCACGTATGTAAAAAATTATTTTATTTGATTTTTATTTTTTCCGAAGAAATATTTATCAATAAGAAAATCTATATTACTTAGAAATGAGTGTTGAAAATCATACGAATTCGACAGGTATTTATTTTATGTATATTAGCTATTGGTAATAGTTATTGTATTTAGTTATTGTTTAACGGAAAAAAAATGCCTAAAAACTTTTGTTTATTATAAAAATCTTCAATATTTTTTTTCTTTTTTATTATAATAGAAGGAAATACTGGTTCAACAACGACAACAACATCGACAATGATAACAACACATATGTATTTAGTTATAACATCAGCCATATGGATGAATAAAACATCGAATAAACCACAACCGAAACCAACAGGAAGTGCACAGAATGTTCCATTTGGAGTTTTCGGAGTTGTATTACCTTATAAAACTGTAAGATCAAGACATTTCTCCAATCTTTGTGTAAGAATTTCATTTTTTCTCTCTTATGAATATAATTGTATAATAATTTTAGGCAAAAATGGATACAGGTGTATGTTATATTATTGATGAAAATGGTTACATTATGTTTATTAGTCAACCGGAAGGACAAGATAGAATTGTAATAAAGAAATTGATATATATGAAAGAATTTTATTAACAAAATTAAATGTTTTTTTTCTAGGAAGATATTGGAAAATTTATAGGCGAATTTGAAGGTCCACTTATGCACGATTTAGTAGCGAAAAAGATTTTTTCTGAGTAAGTTTTACATCGTTTTTTGTTACTATCACAATAATATATTTACATTATTTATCTAGAGTTAAAATGGTTGATTTTCAAGGTGTTTGTTTAAAACGTGCAATACGTTATGAAAAAAGTTCCGGTGGTCTTTTTCGTGGTGTACGTAAACATACATTTACAATAAGATAAACTTCTCTACAATCGTATTATTTTTATTTTTAGATACTAAAAACAATTTCTGTCATGTTATGGAATATCATTAATCATATTGCAATGTAGGAAGCAATCTTTTCTGTATTTCTCTTTTGTAAACATGATTTACTTATAGGGTTCTTGTTCGCGATATTGTTTATTGGCCACAATGGTCTTATGCCGCAAAAAAAGCTAATGTTGCTAATCAAAATATAACAACTCCTAAACCTCTAAAGGAAACTTTTACTCGAGAAAGTCTTAGCAATATTCTCTTAACATATATTGATTTTCGTCGTCCGGCAGTTGATTATAAACGAACAAATACTACAAAAGATGATGATACAATTGATCGAACACCAGTATCATGTATTGAAGAATTTAATTTATATGTTTCAACATGGAAAGGTTGGCAAGGACCATTACCATCAAAAGATAATAGTATAACATGGGAACAAGTTGAACGTGAAAATTCAGTTCAAAGTACAATTAGTTGTACACATGTTGCTAAAGATATTCCTGAAGAATTCGATGATTTCTATGGAAATAATTCAAATGGAACAAATTTTTCAACAACAATTCCAACACCACCACCATTACCCACCGCTGAATCATTTGGGTAAAGAATAAAAATTACATTTAAAACAAAAATCTATATTTCTTTGTTTTTTCTTAAATAGTTATGTTATATCAAGAATTCCAAAAACGAATTTAATGATGATTTATGTCAATCATTCAAAAGAATCATCACAATTATGTGGAAATTTACTTATAAAACGTAAACCAGTTGAATTTACAGAAGACGATGTATGTACACGACTAAAAACAACACCATATCGTGAAAGACCACATAAATGCTTTTTTGTACATGATGGAGAAAATAAAACATTATTTACGAAATGTTCAAATGCTATTCGATCGACGAATTATTCATTATTTGATAACATTCTATGGATTTTCATTCTTTTATTTTCTTATTTAAGAACTTAACAGAAAATAAGAAATGTCTGGCGCTGGTAGCCCGGTGTGTGTGTGTGTATTTGCGCGTGCGTTTGTTTGTTTTATTTCAAATTAAGAATGTTGTTGTTCTGTATAAATTGTGGTTTCCCTATTTGTTTGTTTTTTTAAGACAATTTTTTTCTTCTTTTGATAGAATTCTCATAATCAATAAAATATTTTATTTTAAAGAGCAATCTATATATTCTTAAAATTCAAAAAACAAAATAAATCTCCTGTATTTTAAAGAATATTTATCTTAAGAATTCTCTCATTATCATAGAAACTTCTATAAGATAAGTAATGTAAATATTTTGCTTTTGTTTAAATTTCACTACAAATATGAGAGACTGATATACAATAATAACGAATTACCTTTGTAATTACTAATGAAATATAAATTAACCCGTTAAAAATGAGATCTGTACATTACGTCTAGACAAATTTCGATGAAGACAATTAAAATATTTTCGCTTCTGATAGATCTACTAGAAGAGCTAGTCTAATCATTATGAATGATGGGACTATTACTTTATGTTACTTAAAAAGTAAAATTATTCACCAACAAATAAATCAGTTGATTCTTTTCATGTTGTTATCGCCTAACAGAAGTGCGAAAATATTTTACGAATAATCTAATCATTATTTTAAATCAAAACTTTTAATCTGATCAATGCGTCAAAAATCTATATAATATAAGACAACAGCTTAGTATCTAATTCATTTCACAATATCACACATCGTCTATTGATTGAATTCTATAAATGAATAAACAATTATGTCTTTGTATTTTATTGCCACATCAGGCACATAAAAAGTTACATTCAGAGAATATGAACGAAGAGGGGAAAAAGAAACAGACGAAGTAAACTAAGCGAAGAAAGAAAAGTGCATTGCACAAAAGCCAGTGAGAAACTTCTTGTTTAATCATTCACATTAAAAGAAAGTTTTGTATATATATATATATATATATTATATGTATGTTTGATGATGTAATATTTTGTTAAAAAAAATGATAAAGACATAGAAGAAGATCGACCAGATAATAACAAAAGAAGAAGAAGACGACGAAGGACAAAAAAAAAAAGAATAAGAATAGTAGCACAAAAAAATTCCTTAGGTGTTTTTGTTTTTATATCGCATGTCTTAAACGGTGATCAAAATACAAAAAAAGAAGAAAAAAACGTTGGATAAAGAATGTCTATGAGTGGATGATACATATAAATTTCTATTTTGATTTGACTTTTTCACTAATAATTGCAGCCAAATCAAGATCAGCCTTGCATGTTGCTTGAATATGATTGCGAATACCTTGAAGAGCATTTTTTAAAGCATCTTTACTTGATGCACATAACATTTTACGTTTAATTGTTGCAGTATCTGGTGCCCTTTTTATTCGAAAAACAGAAAAGAAAATAAATTGAAATAAAAATAATTATTTTAAAAATTTTACCATGCAATAAAGTAAATTTCTGCACGTGCTCCTTCATTTGTATCATAAAATATATCAATTACTGCATATCGTACATCATTTTCAGGTAATGCATCAAGCATTTCAGCCCATTTTTGATCTAAATTAAAAAGATTAAATAAACCAAAATGATAAAAAAATCTTTTGTTTTTTTACTTTTTTCAGCTGCTGGTGCATTTTGTGGTACTTTATTAACACCTTCATTTAATACGACAATTTTCGATATATCATCACTGAAACCAAGTACAAGATAACCAGTGTTTTTTTTTATTTTAAATTCGTGAAATTTTTCGATCACGGAATTATCAACTTTAACACCTGATGCCTAAACAAATAAAAATAAATAAATATTTTATTTCTTTAAAATAATTAAAAATTTCTTAAAAGAAATATCAAAGATATGTTTGCTTACCATTTGAAATGTTCACTAAGATAAAAACAGATGAATAATCTATGTATAGTTATATGTATGTATGTCTATTTTAGTCGAAATAGAAAAAGAAGAAAGTGGAACTATATAACTGATGATGATGG